CTTTTTGGGACATTTGGAGATGATAAGCGATATTTATTGAGTTTTAATTTATCAAATATAGATAGATTTGATTTATGACATTTAGTTTATTATTAGTTTTTTTAGAATATATAAGTTTTAAACATTAGATTCATTAAGAAACATCTTATTTATTGGTAATTTCATTAATTAGAAATCAAGTTTATTATTTCAAGAAAAATATATCAGTTTGATGATTATAACATTTTGTGAATATTCGTTTTGAAGTATTATTGTATTTACTTATGAAATTTGAGAAGATGATCTAAATGCATTATAATTCTAATTTTATAATTTAAATTAGAACTTAATGCATTATTAAAAAATTTATACATTATTAAATCAGTCCCGTGCATAGCATCGGTTTACCACTAGTAATATATATTATACCAAAGTGACTTTTCATCTTAGAGGCCCTAAGTGTTTCAAAACCTTAAATCTAATTTTTAAAATTTTTATTTTTATAAAAAAAAAATTAAAATATCTATTGGCTATTCGAAGGACATAAATATTAACCTTCAAATTATTTAATGCCAATATATTTCCGGTAAAAAGAAAGAAAGAACGAAAAAAAAACACACAATTCTCAACCTTCTCTCCTTCTCAAAATAAATCAAGCCTTTATTTAAAAAGAATATAAATCTCATACAATCTTTTCTCTCCTAAAATAAATCTAATGAAAAAAAAAACTCTCTCACCACCCATAAAATGTATACTATTAATGTATTTCACAATTGGTCTGATTTATATAAACATAAAATTAAGTCTAACATAAAATAAAAACTAAACCTTATATCTAGATTCTCTCTCTATTCCATAATTAAACACAATTTTATTCCCAAATAAATTTAAGCATATCTATACTATATATAATTTTTTTTTTAAAATCTCATAATTTATTATTTTTATAATGATTCCATGATTTATAATTTAGAAAAGGAAAGATAAAAAAAATTATTCTTGTGCATTCTTTCTCTAACCAATTCTTTCTTCTATCCAAAAATCATAAGCATCATACATTATACTTTTCCAAGTCATTCATGTCTTCCTCGTCCTATAAATATTACATTTATGGAACGATGAAACTCATTGTTTTTTAACTTTCTTTTTTTTAGACAATTTGGAGGTTAGTTTATGTTTAATTTATTGTATTCTTTAAACAAACTCTATTATCCTTTAGGTACACTATTTTTTCTTCTTCTTTTTTATCTATGACCATTTTTTTTTGTTTTTGTATTTCATATTTTGTATGTCATTTCTCCCTCTTCTCTACCAACTATTATTTGTTTTTTTGTTTATAACTATTTTTTGTTGGTTAATATTGTTTTACTAGAAATAAAAAATATCTCACTCATTATAAAGTGATAGATTAAAATCCAAACAAAATCATTATTAATAAGTTTTTTGTATTGATTTTATATTTGTATTTCATTACTTTTTAAAAAAAATCATGATATGTGTTATTTGACAGTTGGTGCAGAGCATTACTTCAAAGGCATATAATAGTTTTTCAAAGCTATAAAAAGAAAATATTAATTTTAATCAATTTTTTTCAAAACTATTAAAGGTATTAGTCAATTATTTAATTATTTATCTTTAATATATACAACTCTCTTCCTTTGTGGTACTTCTTTCTCTACTACACTGTGAGTTCATATGTTTTTAGAAAAAGATCATATATAATTTAAAATTTTGAATATTTTCATATAGAATGTTAAAAAGTAAATTTTGAAATTTAAAATATAACTATACAAGACCATATCCTTTTAAATTTAGCTATATTTATAATTAATTTTAATCTGTCTATTACCTATCCTTATTTATATTATTATATAAATAAAAATGTTTTACAATAATTGAAGTTCAAAGTCCAAATCTATTTTTTTTTTAAATTTAAAATTCTTAAAATGCATGTTGCAATATCATTAATTTTTTCCTATTATAGATTTTATTTTAAATCTTATAAGATTTGTTCAATGACTAATATTCAATTTTTGTTAAAAAACCCAATATATTCCTTCTAAAAGTTAATATAGCAAGTCTACAAAATCATATTTTAAAACTCAAAATTATTAATATTTTTATTTATTTATATTTTTGTTTTAAAATAAGCATGTTAAAGTATAAATAGATATCCGAATAAAATTATACTTATTAATAAATATGACACTAGTTTTAATTGTAATCACATCTTTTTAAAGTCTTTATTCATTTTTTAACCTTTTTTTTTGATATTTTAAATTACATATTACGATAATTTTTTCTTACTCATCAAGTTTTTAAAATTTCTTTAATTATTTCCCTTTCAAACCAATATAACAATTTTTTAAAATTCATATATTTTTATTCTAAAATAGTGAAATATTATAACTATGTCATTTTTTTTAATAAAAAAATATAATTTTAATTTTTAATTGTCAATACAATAATTTTAATCTATCTATACTATATGTTATAGTAAAGGAATATTTGAAACAAAACTCTTAAATTTATATATAAAATTTTATTTACAAGGAACAAAATACAATAAATTAAATATAATTATTATATTTTTAATAAATAATATATTATTTTATCTCGTGCATAGCACGAGTGACATGCTAATATATTATATAAGCAAAAAGAAGTTTCTAACCCATAAAGCCTCTAAGAGTTCCAAGTTTCCAATCTAAATTTCATAATTTTTTGATTTTTAAAATTTACGAAAATCTTCTATTGACTAGCTCTTATTCAAGCAAAAAAATAAAATAAATATCCCTTAATTTATGACTTTTAAATAGAAAGTATATGAAATATAAAATAATAATAAAAATAAAAATTATACTAATCTATTTCAAAATTCAAGTTTGAAGATCACTAAATATGGAAAGTAATCTATTAATTTAAATTTAAAATTTACACAATATAAATTTAAAATTATAATAATCTAGGGAAAATTAGTCTAAAGTCCCTCTCTCATTTTTAGTAATGGAAGACATCCACAATATTATTTTTTGATGTTTAAGGTCCCTCCATCTATCACAGAGAAATTCAGCCCCCTTACCTGAAATAACCCCATTCCTCCACTCTCCAATGTACTCATTCCCATTCCTCTAAACATGCCTACCATTACCGTCCTGCAAATTCGACCTCCATGAACCAACATAGACGTCGCCATTAGCGTAGTGTTTCTCGCCGAAGCCGTGTTTGTGATCGGAGGACCAGGAGCCGAGGTAGGAGTCGCCGTCGGAGCCGAAGAAGGTGCCGATGCCGTCCATTCGGCCGGCTTTGAAGTGGCCCTCGTAGGTGGCGTCGGAGGGCCAGGAGAAGTGCCCATGGCCGTTGGCTTTGCCTCGCTTCCACTCACCTTCGTACATGCATCTGTCGGACCACAGGTACTTGCCCTTGCCGTGGGGGACTTTTTATCAATTTGAGAAATTTTGGATGAAACAAGCGATACATGTGCAAGAAAGTGAGAATTTTCAGATTCTTGATGTAAGGATCTTTCTTGTGATTTTGAAATAATTTGTTTTAATCTACGTTTAATATCTGATATTTGTTATTTACAGGTTCGCAATTTTGAACTAACAAAAGTTAGCAGAACTAAATTTATGACTCCATCTGCATTTATATTTCTATATGAGAACCAGTTGTTCCTGACATTCAGAAACAGGATGGTGACTGTTTGGAACTTCCGTGAGGAGCTCGTAACTTCATTTGAGGATCACCTCTTGTGGCATCCTAATTGCAACACAAACAACATATATATCACAAGTGATCAGGATCTTATAATTTCCTACCGCAAAGCTGATTCAAATAATCCATTATCAGAAACAAATAGTAAATCACAATCACCTGAATTGAATTTTCTCTGGGTTGAAACCAGAGAAATTCTCTGGTTTTTGAACTAAATTTTCTCTAGATTTGTCCAAAGAAATTCTTTGGTTTTGAGCTGGAACCTGAAATGCTTAATTTGTATAAAACTCAATGTTTGTGAAATCAAATTCTGAAACCCTCTTGTTGAGAAGGAGAGAAATATTGATGTTGTTCAATTTCATCTCTCATTCTCTCCAGAGAAATTCTCATTCTCTAGATGAGAATTTCTTTGGAAAAAGCCAGAGAAATTTCCATAATTTGCTTGACACCAAGAGTGAAGGCAAGCAAAGCAACAAATCACAGAGTTATTTGTGAGAAAATTAGAGAAAATTCAACCCTAGAGAAATTTCAAAACATAGAAAATCAAAAAAATTGAACAAACCAAAGAAATTTGAAATTTCTCTGGATGGAAATTTCTCTGGTTGAAATTTCTCTGGACCAGAATTCCTCTGGATCAAATTGAGGGACCTTAGACATTATGAAAATATTAAATGTCCTTTATACTATAAAGTCTTAATACCAGGGACCCTAAAAAAAAAAACCCCAATAATCTATCCAAAGATTTATAAGTTTTACATACAAATTTAAAATTATCATAATTAGCTCATAAATTTTGTATTAAGGAGTAATGAGAGTCACGTTGAGCTTATTTATATATTTTACAAAAGAATAATTTTAAGAAAAGATATTATGAGAGTTTTAAAATTTCATACAAAATCTATATACTAATATAATTGTAAAACGTTGTCATCTTATTAAAGCTGAAAGTTGCAATTCTTTTTTTATTTTTTATTTTTTATTTTTTTGATTTTGTTTAATTTTTGTTAATATGTATTACAATATGATTGGTCAATAAATTAATTTTACATTCTTAAAATAAAATTTTAAATTTAGATTTTTCCTTAAATTATGTTATCAGAATAAGATCAATATGCATTCCTTAATTTATGCATCTTTTATTAAATTATAAAATAAAATTTTAAATTTAATTTTTTTTAAATTATGTTATTATAATTAGAATGAGATCAATATTCACATGTGTTATAATGATGTGTCATAATATTATTGATCTAAACATAATATGTTATTAAATATGCGTATTCAAATTAGGGAAATGTTTGGACTCCCTTTCAAAATGACCCCCACACCCCCCAAAGTAATTCTAACCCTCTATGTATTTGTGGGGGTCTTGTAGAGGTGTGGATCTCAATCATTACTCATTCAAAATATTAAGGAAAAATTACTTATAAACCTCATATCCTGAGTGTTTTTTTTAAACCATTTAATCTTTTTTATATTTGGTATGATATCTTTGTTTGTTATATTGTCTAGACATCCAGCAATTTCAATCCAATCAATCTCTTATGTTCATGTTATGTATATCTAGATAAATATGTGTGTATATATTGCAAATCTGAGGTGTTTGATCTCATCGTTTGATTGCAGAGCTTTGTGATCTTTTCTCCCCGGATCCAATGTTTTTGGTAGGATCGCTGTTACGTTTCGGATCTGTAATATTTTGGATACGAGGCGGCGCCAGCAGAGGAGAAGGAGAAGCCGAGGCGGCGGCGGCATAGCCGTGGGGAGCCATACCAGCGACGTTGCTGATGTTTGATGTTTACTGATGATGTTGATTGGTCCACCATTGTTGATTGGTTCGTTTTCAATGAATTGGCTTCAAAATCCCACATTTTAATTATATTCTATTTGGGTTTTTCTTACTGGGTTTGGATATATATATATATATATATATATTTAATCTTTCTCTTCGTTCCTGGTGGGTACACTTCATTAAATAGTTGATTGATGTTGTTGATGTTGTATATGTTTTTAATCTTTAGTTACAATGTTTGGGAACTGTTTATTGATGATGTTTGATGTTTCACAATGTTGCTGATTAATGTTGAAGATGTAGTTGATGTTGATGATGTTTGATGTTTATAATGTTGATGATATAGTAAGGTTGATGATGCTGATGATGTTTGTTGATGATGATATAGTTGATGTTTGATGTTGTTGATGTTTGATGATATTCACAATGTTTTGGTGATGTTGATGATGTTTGATGATGCTCACAATGTTTGATGATGTAGTAGATGTTTGATGATGCTGACGATGTTGATGACGTTGTTGATGTTTGATGATGTTGATGATGTAGTTGATATTGCTGATGTTCAGAAAGGAGAGAAATCTAAAAAAGGTTTATAGTGAGCTTTTAACATTTAAATAGGACTTATTAGTCTACAAAATAAAAGGCAGGACCAAATGGTTTAACAAATTAAAATTTGAAATTTATTGGTGTTTTGTCCATATATTAATTGCTATTAAAAAATTATATTTTTATGTTTTGTCATTTTCGGTTTTAAATTTTATAATTTTTTTTTTTAAACCTTCAAAACTACAAGGACTTAAAGAATAAATTTTTTTAATACCAATATTTTTTTCAACAAAAGACAAAAACATTAAGAAAATGAATGACTTTTTTAACAATTACCAAACATAATGGATTCTATTAAGTTTTTTTTTTTTTTTTATCTCAATTATCTATTAAATAAATTAAAATAAAAAAATAATTTTTTTTGGCTTAAATAGTTAAGAAGTGTCTTTTGCTAAAATAAAATAGCAATAAACATCTTTTTTTTTATTATTAAAAGTGATAGTTGGTGAAATTTATTTATTTTTATATAATAAAAAAAGAAAATGGGAGTGACACGTAATAATTTATTATTTAAGTAATACTACAAATCCACACTTTCACCCACAATGATGTGATAAGAGAGTTGGATCTCACAGCAAATTAAGATGACACATATGATACCATATCATTGTAGGTACAATCGTGAGTCTTGAACATTTTTCTTATTGTTGATCTAGACTTTTTGTAGTACTTGTGAAACTAATTGTGATAGAGACCTCTATACATACATAACCCCCACTACTCCTACTCTCATCCGAACCACTCATAATGTGGGGTCCATACATACATGAGTGGACACTACACACACATCAATGAGTGGACACCACACACACATAAAGGGTCAAGATCAAATTGGGAGTCATGGAACCCCCAAAAAAGGATCAAATTGGGAGTCATGGAACCCCCAAAAAAGGGGTCCCAAACATTTCTGCTTGTGAAACATGGTGATCCTGTTATTTTTTATTTTTTTTAAATCTCAATTGTCAATTAAATAAACTAAAATAAAAAATTTATGGCTCAAAGTGCAAAAAAGTAACTTTTGCTAAAACAAATATAAGTAATGTTATTTCTCTAATAAAAGTGATGGTTCATGAAATATCTTTTCTTTATTTTTTTTTGAAAAATGAGGGTTATAGGTGATAATTTATTGGGTCATCTTGAATTAATTGTTTTAAGATCAAATGAGAATACCATTATAAATTTTCTTATTACCTTTTTTTTTTATTTATTATTCAGATACTTTTATTTTGTAAGAAATTTAATTTTATTATATTTAAATATTTTATTGTAATTTTTAAATTAAAAATTATTTTTGAAAAATGATATTTAAATTATTTTATGTCATTATAAAATACAATTTTTTTTAATATCAACTTATTCGATGATCTCTTTCTAAAAGGTGTATTTGCTTTTCTTCATTAATATTTAATTTTTAATTAATCTTATTTATAATTAAAAAAATAAATTAGCAAATAATTTTATATATTTACATACACAATTTTGTTTTGATCGCTCGGATTATTCGATGTCTCTACCCACATTCATTCAAATTTAATCGAATTTTTGAATTTTACATAGGTTCTTACCGAATTAAAAATTATGTTACCTAATCTTTAAAAATTTATAAACTTAAATTAAAAATTAATACATGAATTATGATAAAATTGTAGATATTAAATTGTAAGTTTCAATATTTTTTTATTTTCATAATTTACATACAAAAATTTAATTATTTATATTATTTTACATAAATATATTTTATTTATTTTTTAACATCCCGTGCATAGCACATTTGACGAAAGAGATGCTTGGTTTGTTTCAAATTTTGATTTCTTTCAATTTTTTCTTTAAAAAAGTAAAGCATTTGTATACAAAACAATCACATAACGGTGCAGATAAGACAAATACGAGATGGGGATGGCTCACATTCCTATGATTTATATGAATATTCTGTATTTTTTTTTGTAATTAATTAATTAATATATAGCTATATATAAATATAATTACTTATTGTTGTTTGGTACACGAAGTGTATATTGGCCCTGTTTGATAGGGTTTATTTCTAGCTTATTTTAGTTTTTAGTTTAATTTAAACTATTTTGATGTGTTTAGTTCAGCTTAACAATACAGCTTATAACTTTTTGTAAGTCAAAAATTAATTTATTCTTTAAGTGGGAGAAGAGAAGCTTAATTTATAAGTCAAAAATCAACGTATATTTATAATTATAAACTATAAACTGTTAAGATATAAGTTATAATCACTCTCTCACAACTTTATCAAATGGGCCATTATTGTGTTCCAAAGTCGGCAAATAAAGAAAGAATACGAGTTAGAACGTGGTGGTGGCTTCTTCACCTTTCGTGCTATATTCTCCGCGTTGAACTTTTTCGTCCCTCCCCACACTGTTTGGAAACTTCTATGCGTGTTTAATTTTTTTTTCTTTCTATTTTTTATTAATTTTTCCAGTTGAATTTAGTTGAACAATGTTGCTTACCTAATGAATCATAATGATTTGGATGTGAATGAGAAGAAAAGTAGAGAAACTCATCCAGAGAAATTTCTCTGGGCCAGAATTTCTCTGACCAATTTTCTCTACACTGAAATTTCTTTGGACTGAAATTTCTCTGGGCCAAATTTCTCTAGACCAATTTTCTCTGGACTGAAATTTCTCTGGACTGAAATTTCTCTGGGCTAAATTTCTCTGGACCAATTTTCTCTGGACTGAAATTTCTCTGGATCAAGGTTGAGGGACCTTAGACATTATGAAAATATTGTTGAGGGACCTTAGACATTATGAAAATATTTGGTGTCCTTTATGCTATAAAATCATAATACCAGGGACCTTAAAAAAAAACCCCTAAAAATTATAATATTTGTGAAAAAAATCTTTAAAAAATACATAAATACCAAAAAAATACAAAAAAAATAAGAAAATTTAGTACATTTTCATATTTTTGTGTATTTATTAATTTTTAAAAATATTTTTTTACAAATATTTTATTATTTAGATACATCTAAATAAAGTGCATCTAAAAAGTAAATAAAACTACTTAAAATTTAAAAAATATTCACTAAAAACAAAAAAACACGAAAAACAAAAACTCAGTTTTCAAAAAATTGAATTCAGAAAACTGAAACTAAATATTATTTTTTTCTTATTTTTATCTTTTCTGATTCAGAAAACTGAAACTAAATATTATTTTTTTCTTATTTTTATCTTTTCTGATTTTTTTTTAAAATTTGAAAATTATTATTTTTTAATTCATCTAGTTGAGTGAAATCTAAAATTTTATTTTATTTTATTATTTTAAAAAAAGCTCACTAAAAATAAAAATGTGAATATAATTTTAGCAAACATAATTTTTATACATTTTTTTTTTCTATCATAAGGTACTAGTATCATTTTTAAAATTGTAAGTTATAATTTTTTAGGGCTTTAAATGTAGGAAAAATTAGTGAATCATCTCTCTCTAAGATTTTTTTTTTATTAGTTAGCATCTCTCGATGAAATTTCTCTATGATTTTACTAGAAAAATTTTAAATTTTCTTTGTGACCATATCAGAGAAATTTTATAATTTCTTTGTGAAATCAGATAAATTTCTCTGTGAAAATTGAAATTTCTTTATGTTAGAGCAAAAAATCGGGCTGAAATTTCTCTGAGTCGAATTTTCTCTGTGAAAGTGTTGAGAGACCCCAACTACTATAAAAATATTGTATATCTTTTATCTTATAATATTGTAATATCATGAACCTTAAAATTTTTTTCCCTTAATACAAAATAATAAAAAATTTAAACATTTTTCTTATTTATTGATGAAACACTTTATGCTGTGCTTGTGTAATATGTTACACATAAATTATTTTACTATTATTGTTTAAGTCATGCTATAAATTCAGAATTATATACTCATAATTTATTCAGAATTTACAATATGCGATTAAAATTTTTATTATACATATGGACTTCACTATGCAGTCATTCAATCTCCATGGTTGATCTATTTTCTAGGTAATTCTAGATAGCTATTTTCTGGATTTATAGACTAATTCTTATTATATTACACATAAATGTTCCACACCAAATTGTTGCTTCAATTCCACAGAACATTATTGTACTCTCCTTCTTGGGAAATTCTACATTACCTGGTCGTCCCATGGAACCAACAACATTATTCAGAGTTACCAACTACCTTTCAATATGTTTAGTTTTAATTTTTTGAATTTAATTTTTTTAAATTAAATTTTTTATTTTTAGTGAATATTTTTAAAATTTAAGTAATGTTTTTTTACTTTCTTAGATGCGCACAAGAATATGAAAAATATACTAAATTTCATATATTTTTAGTATTTAGTGAAATTTCGAAAGAATTTTTTTCACAAATAGGATGTAATTGGTTTGTTTTTGAGAGATAAATTTTCAAAAAAAAAATTTTCAAAAAAATCTTAAGGAAAGAGTTTAGAATTTTTTTTGATTTGTTTGGTTGGAAATAGTTTTTGAGT